TACAGTGTACCATTGTGTATTAAGCATGCTACACATTAGATTTAGGGTCACTAAAATCATCTACATTCCCCTTAAAGCGCCCCTCTCCAATCCGGATGATCCCATGGGAAATGATTTAAAACCTACTGTCAAAAACATACTTTGGCATTATAAACAGACTTGCTCTTGTGTTGACAATCTTTCTGCAATGTGTTTAATCTTGAAATGGACTTTAAAGTTCTTAATAATGAGTTTGGATTGATGTAATTGTGGGAACAATATAATTATAGTCTCATGCCTCTTTACAGTTCATGTATTTATATTATAATAACATCTATCTAGATATTATTGTATCAAGAGATTAAATAATATATTAAACCTTTTTGCATTTAATTATCTTCTATATAGATTAACTATAACATATATGTTGTGCACATTACACATTCTGTGGAATAGACAATTAATTAGACTCAAGTTATTATTTTAAAAATTCAATGAATCTTTATATTTGTTTATTTTCTACTAGGTTTTAACAATTTTTTTCATTTTTTATCGATTTTGATGGTTAATAAATCGTTAGAACTGACGAGGGTCAACACAGACCGAAATATGTTTTTAATAAATGTGGATCTAACGTAACATCTACATTTATTACTCTACAGAGGTTTGATCCATGACCATCACCGTATTTTAAATAATAAACACATCAATCGTGCAGTGCATACAGACCCATTTCACTTCATTTCACTTTATAAATGACATTACAGGAACTGGTAAGACTTTATTTGCTTTACACAACAAGATGCACAAGAGATTCCTTTATTTAATGTCGTCTCTCTTTTTCACAATTTTCTGGGTCTCACTGTATTTCTCAAGGATGCAAAACTGAAGTCCCTTGTCCCTGAGGCTGTATAAACCTATACCTCCCCCTCGAAAAAGTGTTGCCTAGAAAATGCTCTGATTAATGAAACTCTGCCAAGTAAAAACAGAAAAACCGCGGAGTTTTTCTTTATTGAATTAACTACGATAAAAAACATGGCGACGTGAAAAGCTGAAATCCTACTAAATATGTATATTTAAACAAAAAGAAAGTGGTTTCCGTTAAAGAAACATTTAAAGATAAAGGAATTGAGTCCTTGCCACAAACTCAAATATTCAAACCTCTATATCGTTAAAACCTGATGATACAAACCTTTGATATTTTAAACTCAGGTTATTTGATTTAACAAAATTCATAGTTTGAAATATCCAGGGTCTACGACATTTGGTTCCAAAGATTATAGTGATTTGAAAATCCGAGTTTGTGACAAAGACTCAATTCCTTTGTCTATATGAAGCGCTCATGGTAGTCTAATAATAACACATTTTTTTTATTTTTTACATAAAACAAGCTTTGAACCAAGGAAAAATGACATATTAGTTTTATATCTTTTTATAAGTCATGTTCCCGTCATTTTTTCAGTAATTGTTTATTAACGGTAATCAATTTTATGGGATGTGGGGGTGTTCATTTTAAGAATTGTTTCAAATTGGGAGAGGGGTCAATCTTAGGAACTTTTCAATGGGGGGGGGGGGGCAATATATGAGGGATAGCTTTATAGGGAAGTAATGAAAAAAGACGCGAGTTAAGTTATATNGGGGCAATATATGAGGGATAGCTTTATAGGGAAGTAATGAAAAAAAGAAACAAATGCATTTGTTGTTTTACTTTTTAATTAATCATTGATCCTTATTATTAAAACCATTAGCAATGCTTCAAAGTGTGAAATCTGTAAAAATAGTCACTAATTATATGGTCAATAAATCAATATGTGTATATGTAATCCACAGGGTAATGTTATCCGATTCAACCATATAAATATCAAATTATTAGAGATATATTTATCAAAACGAAAATAAATACATATGTCTAACTGTATTTATGTTGGTATGTAATGTGCTAACAAACACACATTTAGAGCAAATTATATATTTTAAAAAAATAAAATTTTAAATTTATAAGATGTACTTTGCACAATTTATTGTGATATTAAAATCTGATTAATGCTATGATTTTCTTCCAATTATATCTTTAACGTTGGACCACATTTTCAATATCTCAATTCATTCTAAAAATGCACATTTTTTGCACACACTATTTTTAGTTCTTTTAAATTGCACACTTGGTTTTTGCTAAACTTTTTCACATGGACAACTAAAGTTTGCAAAAAAAAAATACTTGGATTTTTGAAAATTAACTTTTTACAGATTCACTTTTTATAGGATTTCTTCATATCCTGTCTTTCAGAATAAAATGAGAGACAATAAATTAACATTTTTCATTTTAAAGGTAATCAGAAAATAGTTGAATATATATGTTTATACATAAAGCAGTAATTTCTGTTAGTTTGTTTATCCGATCAAAGCTCATGAACTCCTGGACCGATTTGCCTCTAAAAATATAGAAAAAAAACTCTTATTTCATCGTTTTTCTAGTTACCGAAGTCCACTGAGTGTACAATGTACTTTTATTATTTGAAGTACTGACACGACTTATAGACAACAGAGCAAGTTTTGTACAGTATATTTAAGACTATTCGTTCATATATATATATATATACATTTATGTATTATGTTTTTTGGGGGAACGTATGGGATAAAAAAGGATAAAAAATTCGATTTTCTTTTCAAAAACCAATTAATTTTCAACGGGCAGCTAGTGTGTTATATTATTGCCTGTCCGAAGGATATTGTAATATGCCCTAATTCTACGTATAATAAAATGTATAAATGTGGTTTTCATATTTAATCAATATTTAATCTAGGTTAGAACACATATTGTTAACATTGTAATCTAACTTCCTCCCTCTTTTCTTAAAAAACGTTATCCTTTATATACGACCGTTTTTTCCTAATTTTAAACTAACAAATTTCGCAGATTTTTCTGCTTGAATTGGAGGATTTCCAAAATTTATAAAAATTGGAAATGTCAAAGTTTTTAAAAAGTTTTAACTGATCATACATTCCCTGGGCCGAGCAATGTAAGGTCCTGCAAAAAAAAATTGGATCGAGGACTGAATTCGATAAATGTGCAGGGTCGTTGAACTACCACCGCCGGTTCAAATTTGAATCCCCGATTCAAATCCTTCCTGAATCCTAAACTTTGAATCGGTGGTTAAAATTTGAAACGGCGGTTCAGTGAGTTAGCTCAAATTCATTCGATTTAATGTTTATTGGATACAAACTCGCCATAAAATACCTTTGGCCGGGTATTACACTTAAAGGGGGGATGCCCCCCCCCCCGGTTGTACCACTGACTAACATGTAGCGTCAAATATATTTAGAATCTTGTAGGATTCAATTGTTAAGATGACGGAAACAGTTTGTGGTGCAAACCAAATACGAATAAAACTCAACTAAGTGGAAACGAAACGTAAACCATAGATTTCTGAAATTGATAATTCTTTAAATTGTACACAGTTAGGGACGTGAGCTAGTTCTCTCATATGTATGCAATAAATATCGTAGCAAATCCCATATTTATAAACCTGAACACACCTAAATAAATTACGTTCTACATTGTAACCTAACTGCGCTTGTAAGTAACTATGTAAAACTTATATTGCGATTAATCTAACTACGATTGTAAATAACGATGTAAAACTTGTAATTACATTCATTAACTTAACCACATGTATCATAAAATTCAAAATATACGTTAGCTAGAATAATTCTCCGCTTTGATTACGGCGTTAGAGTAAATATAAATGCCTCGTGTATTAACGAGAGGGAATGAGTTGGATCTTGTAAGACAGATACTGAAGAATACTGATTGAGTTGTATCCAGTTTGATATTGAATAAAGTATTATTGAACGGAATAGTTCTTAATTGAGTTGTGTTTTGTAAGCCAGATACCGAAGAATACTGATAGAGTTGTATCCAGTTTGATATTGACTAAAGTATTATTGAACAGAATAGTTACTGCTTGAGTTGTATTTTGTAAGACAGATACCGAAGGATAATGAAGGATATACCTGAACTGGTACCGATCTAAAAGACTTTTTTGGAGTAGGGCATGTACACAATTTGGGAAATGAGCTAGTTCTCGTTAAAGATAATTTTTAGCATCACAGGCACATTTAGCATCAATTAGTTTTAAATATTATTTTTAAATCAATATGTAAAGAAAGGAAAACCCTAAACCTAAAAATGGTGTTTGGGGGGGGGGGTACAAGATCACTCCCCCTTACTCTATATTCGCCCGTGTACTAGATCAGATATTTATGATCTCATAATAATCTTGAACTGTGCTCGGTGCGCAGTGGAGAGTAAAGCGCGAATTCCAAATTTAGTATTAAATAAACACCGGGGGTGCATACACTGTAAACGCGCGCGCAGTGATCATTATTTGTAAACTATAACAAAAAATCAATATGGGACCAATATGGGATCTAAAACCAATAATGGGACCTAAAAAGGACTGAAGGAGTCGTTTTAAGGGACTCCTTAAATATATAGGAGAGTGTCCAATTTTAAAACCTTTTAAAATGTATTGATTTTCTGATTTTTCCCCTTTTTCTCCTGCTGCAAAATTGCGCACATCAGTGTAAGAGAACCGAAATTGAAAATTATCACTTTATATAAGATATATGATAGAAAACTTAAATAACTCAAATATTTTACGAAGTCAAAGGTTTAGAGGGTAAATTGGATATAACACTTTATGCATAGATAGATAGGGCCATTTAAAAAATTCAAAACTGTTACCTTTAAAGGGACTGTATAAGCGTAATTTCAAGTACCGTTCCATGCAAAGATTATATAAGACCCGATTCACAACAGTACCATTGAAAACTATTTCTAAACAAGTATGAATGAGATATTTATTTCAATGATTTTGAAAAGTGATTATTTTCAAATAGTGGCCCAATTCTGTTAAAGGAACTCGCGCATTTCTACTGCAGGAAAACTAGAAATTATCAGAATTAAACACTTTACAGCTCAGAAAACAAGTTCACGGAATTTTTTTTATTTCAGATCAAAATTGTCTCAAGAGTGAAAAAGTTTGAAAAAAGTGAAATGAAAAATAAATTCATGACTTGAGCTTAACGGAGTTAAAAGTACTTTAATTGGGATTAAACAGAGATGTGGATCTCACAGGTAAGGTTAAACTCTTAAAGGGAGTGTTCGCGATTTTTATCTAAACAAATAAAAAGAATTAAAAGAATTTTTTTAAGTCTTCTTTAATTTACAAATATATTTAAGATATATTTCATTGAAATAACAGAGATACACTCATTCTAATTTGCCAACATTCCCTTTAATTTTTTATAATTATAATAATTCGTGGTTTTTATTTCATCACTTTAGGATATGTATCAATACATTTAAATCATAGATATATTTACTAAACTGATGTACTATCAGGTCCGTTTTGAGACAATTAGAAATTTTTAACGTTTACAGTGCTCCTTAAAAATGTGAGTTATTTATCCCATTGCAAAATTGCATTCTCGATAAGTTTGCATTTAATCCATTATGCGAATTTTACTTGCTGATCAAAGATATGATCCGAAACAGTTTTTCAAAACGATTAATCGTTTTGAAAAATCGTTTTGATGTATATCTTTGTGATGAGTAAAAATTTTGCATAATGTAATAACAAACCCAAACTTGTTTAGCTTGCAATTTTGGAATAGGTTTGACATCTCAGATTCTTGTGGAGCCCCCATGAAGTCTTAAAACTTTAAATGTTTAAAAACAGACCTCAAACGATACCCATCAGTTTAACTCTCATATCTACACAAAATTGAGCATTAACAATTGAGAGCGCTCTGATCACAAGGCCTTTGCACTTGATTTTAACAACTTTTTTACGATTTATTTTTTATAATTTTTGTAAAATAAAATGGTACGAGGCATAGTTAGTAATTTCAAATGTTCATCTTTTTTCTTCTTTCTCCATCTGCGCGTCTTTGAGCCATTATAAGATAGTGCAGGATCACCCTTTCATTGTTTAGATGTACCCCTCTCCGTTTTTTTGTTTTGCTTAATTGTAATTGCAGCACTGAACATTCTTGTCTACTTGCATTGGTCATCACTTCTAGTACTTCAAGTTAGTTTCTATTTGCAGCGAGGAAGCAATAGCTTCCCTGCTATAAACCGCACATTTTTACTTTCCTTTACATGGAGGGTTTATATTCAACGGAGGATAATCAGACGTGGCCTTTGCCCTCTATTTTATCTTACTGATCCCTTAATACTTGTTTATAACCTTGGACATGAAAACTTCACAGCTAGTTTAAGTTCAATTGAGTATTTGGCATAGATTTCAAGCCGATTTTAGGGCATTTGGCATAAATGAAGGTTTCTTTTGCAGAATGTTTTCTAACAAATATTTAATCCTGCGCGACAAAACTAAAGATTAAAATCAAAACGATCTTTTTTTGCCGTTGTTTTAAGTAAAATTGGTTAGAATAGAAGTTTATTAATGTTGTATTAGATATGTAAGCTTTTGAGAATTTGTAGTAGTAGAAATGACATTCTCATAACACCATGACAGCAAGTTTTCAAACTTTGATCTTTAAACTTTTGAAAACGAAAAACGTTCATATTACATTTTTTGATTTTTAAAAAACTAGCTCAATTATTTTTTTCACTTTGAAACCGATCGCTTAGTTTATATTTATTTTTCCTAGTTAAAAGTTGTTTATAAAAAATAGCAAACTGCCCCTCTGCATAACCCCAAACATTTCATAACATTAAATAACCCTTATTTTTTAGGTTCTGTTAAAATTCTAAACCGAATAAGTGAAATTTAAAAAAATATATATTTAATGGTCAACTGCACTAATATTTGAAAAAAAACATTGAACAAATTACAGATAGGCTTTAATTCTATTGAATCGATCTTTTTTTTACTAAAAAACTCCTGGTTCAACATCTTTTAAAGCTTGATCACAATGATAATCTAAAAGTTGAGACCGTATCAAGATATAATAAAATTATAGTTGACCAAACAAACATGTATGAGTATTGAGAATAGTAACCGAGGTTGGGTTTTTAATGATTTAATTTTCCCCTCTTATGTACACCATTGTTCCTTCCTGTGGTCAAAAATTGTGTTTCCAACCCTGAATCAATCAGTTAACTTTAGTATTTGATTCGATCAATCAGTTATATTTTGTAATTGATTAGATCAATCAGTTATCTTTTGTATTTAATTAGATCAATCAGTTATCTTTTGTATTTGATTAGATCAATTCTTCTTTGTTATCCCATGGTCAGAAACAGAACCCAGGGATAACCATAAAATACAACACCATTAATTTTAAATGTTGCCTTTGCTTGATTTTGAGATCAAGCGCTATCTCACAACGATAAAAACAAAACAAACTTTTAAATATTTGTTTTTACAACACTTGGTCAGTTAAAAGATATGCAGGTTTTAAACTGTTGAAACCAACCAAATCTAAATGTTTGTACCATTATAATTAAATAATTTAAATTCTCTCAAAATTGGTTTAAATTTTACAACCAATCATCTATTGGTTTATCACAGCCACAACCAAGTGGAATAAAAACATATATTTTAATTCTAAAATTTAATAGATTTTCACGGCCATTTTGTTTATCTTTTTAATGCCGCGTACATTTATGATTTAATCAATAAAGGATACTAACACTGTGCACGTGGGAAGTTCCGTTTAGTGTTTTCCCGCCATAATTATTGTTTAGAGGATTTATAGAACACAGGCCTTTCCTTCTTAAATAATTAATTAAGATTGTCTTAACACAAAGTACTTCCAGAATAATAGGAAACAAGAAAGTTCTTTTAACTAGATTATATTATAAATATTCGTTCTTGGACCTTGAAAAATATCTTTAAAAACAAATTATCTTGTTTTGTTTTATATATTTCTCAAAATAAAATTCTTAAAAAATTTGGGAAGAAATGATTTATAGTTAGAAAATTGGTGTAAAATGAATATTTATGCAATTATAAATAATCTCACTATTTACCATCATAATCCCCTTCAAATCTGCACTAAAAACATACAATTTTTGATCTAATAAACATATTGTTCATTATTAAACTTGTTAATGTTTTTACAAAACAACTTTACGAAGGTTTTCTAAAGGCGTATGAATGCAATGGTGGTGCACACGCTGCACATAGAGCCAAACTACTATGAAAAACTGCATCAATTTTCAAGACTTGGTCGACTTTAAAGTGGTGCAATGCCTAAATTATATACATATTGTGTATTCTGAGATTATACCTAACTAACTCACATTAATACTTTTTTGTAGCCCTAGAGATTTGCATTTTAAAACTTGAAAGAAATTATTTTAGCTTTCATTTTTAAGGAGTAGTTGCAAAAGTTCTCATTGAGTTTTTACGTGAGAAATTGCAACATTTTAATCAATGTGGGTGGGGCAGCGCCATAAAAAAAATTTTAAATTTTAAAACTGAAGAACACAAAAAGATCGAGCTCCCGGCCGGCCCCATGGGCTTTTACACAATCATTACATTTCTTGAATAGGACAAATAGTATAAAAATATTATTAAATAATTCTCATAATTAATTTCATTGAATTAAATTAGTTCATATAATTGTTTGAACTTTTAATTTGGCCAATTTTATCAATTTAATTCCTTGTATTAGGAAGTATTGGATTTTAGTATTGTAAATCAAAGTATAAAATATTTATTTCATAAATCCACTTTTAAAAATACTTCCAAAACAATTAATAAAGGTAGCTGAAAACTTTTATCTAAATATATAAAATGCGGTTTATCATTATAAGATTTTTAAGAATAATTTATCCATGTTAAATATTCTAAAAACTTAGTTGGAGCACAATATTTTTAATTATGCAGCTTGAAACCACGCCTGTGTATTAAGACATGTCCAAGACGAAAATTGACTCAATTTGGCGAATTTAAGCTCCAGATAAAGTTTAAATTCATTAATGTTTATTGGCATCATTGTAATACATATTTCACGAACACTTTTTTTCATCGAAATTATTTTCAATCCAGTGTTTTCATTTCAAATTAGATTTGAGAAAAAGGACATTACCAGAGGAATTAGGTTTTTCTGATTTTGATTGGCCTTAATTGGTTTAAACTAGTGTAAACAGGTTTGAGCTGGTTTAAACTAGTTGTTAATGGTCTAAACTGGGTTAGACTGGTTTAGACTGGTTTTAACTGGTTTTAACTGATTTTAACTGATTTTAACTATTTTAAACTGTTTTAAACTGGTTTAAAAGTGTTTAAAGCTGGCTCATACTGGTTTCAACTGGTTTAAACTGGTTTAAACTAATCTAAATTGATTTAAACTGGACTTAATTGGTTTCACCTGGGTTAAACTGGTTAAAACTGGGTTAAACTGGTTTAAACTGGTTTAAGTTGGGTTAAACTGGTTTGAACTGGATAAAACTGGTTTAAATTTGCGTCGTCCATTCAAAATGTTCGGGCTTTGCACGACTATATTGTGTATCGTAGATTTTTAAGGGTTCTGTAACCGAAATTTCAAGTGACCCTTTTAACCAACTTTATCTGATCAAAAATGTGAAAGATTTTTCGCATTCTTTGATTAAAAACTGCTTAATTCTAAAACTTCATATATGTGTTCTTTAGTATAGCACAAGTCACTTTCGTAGAAAAACCACAATTGGGTACCGTTGTGAATCGGATTTGCATGGATGTTCACTGGAAATTACGCTTACAGTCCATTAAAGACTATGTATACCGGTTTAGACAAGAATAGTTTATGATGCTTAATCAAATTTGATTGAGGATAGTATCAAAAATTTTACTGAAATCATAAAAGCAAAATATGCAAATCTTTTTGGGCCAGATTTAGCTATAGCGAGAAGTAGTTGAACCGCATAAACGAAGTTCAACCACTATCCTACAACTTTAACCTGCGTACAAGAGAATAGGTTTAACTATCTCTACGAGGCTTAAATATTCATTAAATCTGTTAACTGGAATTTAGAGCTGAGTTGCTAAATTTGAAAGGTGCACTAATATAAAAATCGGATCAAAAGCGCTAAACTTATTCTCTCTTATTTGAGATCAGAATACGTTCAAGTCATGAAAACCAATTTAATTTAATTATAACTTCATTTTTTGCTTTAGTTGTGGAGAAGTGTTTTCCTGGCTTCTGTGTACACATCATGTACAGCTGAAGGATTCCCAACAGCTGAAATTCAGATAAGGTAACAAACCCAATCCTAACCAAACCCAAGCCTAACCCAACCTCAACATAACAAAACCCAAACATAACAAAACCCAAACATAACAAAATCCAAACATAACAAAATCCAATCCTAACCAAACCCAAACATAACCAAACCAAACCCAGCTGAGTACTAACCCAAACCAAAATAATCAGAACTAAATCAAACCCAACCAAACCAAACAAGGCCTCGGCCATTTTAAATCATTTAAATTTTGGCAGATTTTTCTTTTCAAATTGGTTCATTTAAAAAAAAAAACCATTTTAGGATTTTTTTCTTCCAATTTTGATTTTATAAACCTTCCCTGGCGCCAAAGAAAATTTGGCCCGATCGGTTCAGCCGTTTTGACGTGTATAGGTTATAAACGGATACTTTGCTTCAGTATATTTATAAAGATATTCTAGACATCCTGGTGAACCTGGCTCTGTACCATTTTCTCTTCAACCAGACCTTTCTCCTCATCCTCCTCATCACCCCCATCCTCTTCAGGATAAAGAGCATCCTGAAGATTATTCAACCGATCCATCGATCACCTCTGGAGATTATCTAAAAGAATATGATCTTGATGACGTAGATGAGGAAGAAATAGAGCAGTTTAATGAAATAGAAGATGAAGAAGAAGAAGAATATGATGATGAGGGATTGGAGAAGGACCAAGAAGTTGAAGCGTCTGAGCCCAACAGGATTGCAAAATTACAAATTATTGTTAGAATTAAGAAAAAAAGATCATAAAATGCAACACGAAAAGTTTTCAATTAGAAATGCAAATTAAGAATTTTGTGTATACGTAATTATGATATAATTTTTAAAATGTGTCCTGAATATTTTCAGAAAACAAATTATACAATATTACTACATTTCGAATTAAAAGATATAGATTCTGCTTTCACTGCATGCAAGAGAAATATGAAATGAAATGAACTCTGTGACGTTCCTTTTCGATTTAAACCGGTTTAAAGGCTTTGGTTGATTGAGAGAAAATAAGATATCTATTTTTTCTTTTTTTCTTTTTCTCTTTTCTCTTTTCTCTTTTCTCTTAGAATTTAATATTTTTAATTGTGGACTGCATGGTTTATCTTTTTAAGTGACTATGCTACAGAAACGATGGACGATATTGTTATAATTGAACTCTTTTAAAACCACAAAAACGATGATATCTTTCACATTATTGATCAGATAATAGTTTAACTTGTAACTTGATCATAGCCCTCTTTAAATGGGGGTTCGCTTGAAATTACAATCACAGTCCCTTTAAAGGCGTGCTATTAAGTGAGGAAAGGCGGAAAAAAATATTTTGCAATGTTTAGGGTTTTCAAAAAGGACACAAGCAGGATGGAATTAATGTTTGTAAACAGTGACAACTTCAGGAAACCGGAAATACATGAACATGAGCCAACAATGGCCGCTGTATACTTCAAATTCTGTAGACCCCGTCTCAGCGGAAACTTTTTCTTGATTTTTTCCCACAGTGCACAATTGTCCATGAAGCAAGGAAGGGGGGGGGGGTGTTGTACATAGTATTAATTGCTTATTTCTAATATAAAACTCGTATTTTCTGATCTTCAGAAACAAGAAAAAGAAAAAGAAAGGACGACGACCTGTGTTAAAAAGAAGGAAAGTCAAAACCACGCGTTTTCGCCTCAGACAACCAAACCAAATAGAGGATGAAAAGAGCAAAGACGACAACGAAATCGACGAAGATAATGTCGAAACAACGACGTTTGCGGATTTGAGCAGAGGTCGACCGCTTACTGAGCTGCTATTTACTACAAGATCACCAAAAACTATTATTTTATCTGATAAAATTCTTCCAAAGTCTAGGTGAGTGTTATACTACAAACAAATCAATTCAGTGAAAATAAGCAAAAATCTTTATGATCCAATTATAACCAAACTTTTAGGATAAAATAAAAATTAACTTCGTCTAGGATTTTTATACTAATTATATGATTAAATAATTATATAATTATAAAATGATTATGGATTGTAACGTGGGGATCATTTGAAATTTTGTCGGCAGTCCCTTTAAGAAATAAAGCTTCGAACAAATTCAAGATAATACAAAATAGGTTGAAAATGTCAGTTCTTTCATATAATTTTTTTAAAATAAAAACTATCTTCATTTATTTACCGACATTGAAATGCGATAAAAAGTTTTTTTTTGGTCATTTAAAATAGTAAAATAACTTTTCTTGAAATAATATGGTTAAAAAATCGACAACATAATGCTTATCAACATATTTAAATAGCGCTTGGATTTTCTTTTTCTAAAACTTTTTATTTCTTGCAATTTCATTTGCAAATAATGAGAAAAAATTTACATTTGGTTTTGATAACTTTCCATTTTAGCATAATTCATGCATATTTAATTTATACTTTAAGTACCGTTAATAATCATGTTTGAGCCAGACACAATAATTCAACTATAATCAGACAGACACCTCATCATAAGTTACAAAATGTCATCTGTGTTTAAATATCAAAATAAAATTATATAGATCTACAGAGATAGAAGGCAATAATATAGATAGATAGATAGATAGCTCGATAGAAAAATTATGGATAGAACATTTCATACATTGATCATTTCATAGATAGGACATTTCATACATAGGATTTTTATAGATAGGACGTTACATGCATAGGATATTTTAAAGAGAACACTTCATAGACCTGATCTATTAATTGAAATGTAATATCTTTGGAATGTCTATGTCAAAACAACAATAATTAAGATATTATGAGTATTTGGTAAAATCTATTTGATTTATATAAATTAATGATACAAGCGAAAAGTTGTATTTATCAAGCACTACTAAATTCGAAATTAAATAATTATTGGTCTTCAAAAATGTCTAGTTCTTTGTGGGGGCTGTACATTGGAACTTTTTTTAGTTTTGCACATTTATGTAACCCTGTACATTGGAACTTTTTTTAGTTTTGCACATTTATGTAACCCTGTACATTGGAACTTTTTTTAGTTTTGCACATATATGTAACCCTGTACATTGGAACTTTTTAGTTTTGCACATTTATGTAACCCTTTAGATTGGAACTTCTTTAGTTTTGCACATTTATGTAATCCTGTACATTGGAACTTTTTTTAGTTTTGCACATTTATGTAACACTGTACATTGGAACTTCTTTAGTTTTGCACATTTATGTAATCCTGTACATTGGAACTTTTTTTAGTTTTGCACATTTATGTACCCCTGTACATTGGACATTTATGTAACCCTGTACATTGGAACTTTTTTAGTTTTGCATATTTATGTAACCCTGTACATTAGAACTTCTTTAGTTTTGCACATTTATGTAACCCTGTACATTGGAACTTCTTTAGCTTTGCGCATTTATGTACCCTGCTGTACATTAGGACTTCTTTAGTTTTGCACATTTACAGTTAAATTTTAGTAATTGGAAAGACTAAAAACAGCTTTTTACAAAAACTTGTCAATCAAAATTATAAACAATTATATAAAATTCTTTTGTTTATAACATAATAATTTTACGATGCATGCGTAACATTATTTTTTTTTGTAAATGTGGTTTTAATTTCAGTTATTTTAGCAAGATTTCAATTCTTGTTCATTGAGACAGAAAATAAACATCATGATATAATAATTAGTTGAATTGTTTCTCATGGACCAGTTAAATCATAACTTATGATTTACAACTATAAAGCTTAAGCAACAAAGAAATCAAATTGTATCTTGAAGACATGGCATTATTAAAACATTAAAATTTTGTCAAGGGAGAGGGGGGGGGGGCAGGGGGGGCTCAACTGCACAATTAACTTGCTTATTAGTTTAAAACTATGTACAAAGTTAACCGTAAAGAAGACACTTAAGAAAAGCCTGCATGGAATTCAGATAGCCGTATTTAAATATTTTAGGTCCTTACTAAAAGAACTTAATTTAACGCAAAGAAATTGCACATTTAAATATTTGTTATTTCGTTGGATAAAATAATCTAGTTCGAAACATAAAATTGTTACCATCAGGTTGCAAAGGTATACAGATAAGAGTATTTAAATTTGTGGCAAAGAGACTCAATTCCTTTGATTCAATATTAATTCTTCACTTTATTTTAGAGCAGATTCGCATACATTTTTTTTAATCTAAAAGGGATTGTAATCGTAATTTCAAGTGATCTCAGATTTACAATATTAAATACCATTAATAGCTTTGTTTGATCAGCACTAATTAGATATATTATATGCCTTCTTTGCATATATATAGGGTTATTTAAAATTACACTTACAGTTCCTATAAATAATCAGACGCGTATTCAGATTTCAGCAAGGGGGGGGGGGTTAGATAAAGTAAAACTAAATGTGACCCCCCCCCCTCCCCCCTGAAGCCCTGATAAAAAAATGTTTATTGCATGCATTATTGATTTAAATCTGTCAATACTAATTAATCATTAAATATCACATGGATATAATAAGAAGTTGGCAGATGTTTATAATTATGAGATATGTCAACAAACCAAAGAGTATTTTAAATATTGTTAAAACAATAAATGTTTGTTTAGAAGTCGAGATATTGAGATAATTATTCGTCCAGATACAAGAATTAAAGACCTAAAAGATGACACTACTACAACACCACCTATTAAATCAGATGATAACCCCCCAGCAGATCGCAACCTAGTCAAGGAGAAGAAACCTCGATTTACTGGAGTCCGTCAGAGAAGCAGGGAAGATAGAAAGAATATCCTGTTTCCTCCCAGAATTAACAAGGCACCGGGCAGAATAACATTTCCCCGAGGGTCTAAGATTGCGGATAGGAATGTCAAATCAAATAATGATGATAATAATTCTGAAAATGAGATCAGTGTAGAAGATGTGGATGACTTCAAGGTCCAAGAAAAGGATTCTGGACTACGGAAAAAAGTTAAATTTCCCAATTTTGAAACAGGAATAACAGGTATAATTCTAACCACAAAAATAACTTTCACCGAGGCTAATAACCTTGAATTTTTTGGAAGTCAAAATTTTGCACACTGTAATAAAATAAAACTTTTAAAGAATAATCTGTTGCGTTTTTCAGACTCTACAAATATTCTACACTTAACCGAAAACGGAAAAAAGATATAATTAAATAAAAAAAGAACAGAGTATTGTGAATATCGAGATAAATGCTTGATCACAATTTTTGTTAATCTGCAGATTAATTTAATCTTCATATTATATCCCACATGGTAATGAGACATGGTCAGGGGTTGAAAGGAGCTTTGATCAGGGGATGAATATCTAAAATCAAATTAAAAGTTCCCACAGTGGATATTGAGATCAAAGTGTTGGATACTCATAATCTGGCCCGATTGCTTGATCTTGATATCCACTATGGACACTTTAAACATTGTTTAATCTCTTCATATTAGTGATTTCTCTAGGGTGCGCTCGAGATGTGGGATATTGAATAAAGATTAATTCAATCTGCATATTAAGAAAAGATCAAGCATTGATCTTTTCCCAGGTCTGGTCAAATTGGCTGCCTAAGTCTAACCCAGACTATAACTAATTTTTTTTACTGCTTCGTAATTCAATTTCAGATGATTTAAAGGTAATAATTATTTAGGGGGGACCGGACTTCTGGAAGTAATAGAGATTACCTCTCCTGCAACCAGAATCCAGAATGCAAGGAATCCAGATACTAAAATCTCAGATGTCCAAACATCGAAAACTAGAAAACTAAGAATTTCAAAGGCAAAAGTTCCAGAGCTCAGAGCTCCTATAGCTCCACTCCCAAATGGGAGTGTCTCAAAACAAAAAGTATCAGAGGATAGGACACAAGAAAAAATAGCTCCTGAGTTAGGATTTCCTGAAGTACGGGGTCCAGAGGCCAGAGTTCCAGAGTCCAGAGTTGCTGGAGGAAGATCTAGATCTCGAGGTGGAAGAGTGCGTGAAGGAATCTCTCATCTCAACACTGTCACCTTCAGACCAAGATCCCAGTCTGGTACAACTGAAACCAGTTCTTTCAACCACCAGGAATGACAATAAGAAATAAATGCCGCAAAATAATCTCAAGACAAGGATATGATTAACCTTGCATATAATAAATTCATATTGCTTGTGTCACATTCCAATGTTAAATACCTGCTTTTTGTAGTGTCCTAAAATTTAGTAAAAACAAGATTTATTCTGATATTAACAGTCAATGATAATAAATTGTATATTAGCTTGGTTTTGCTTGCAGATATAAAAACTAACCAGATGTTTACGTCTCGCCAACTTAGGTTTTCCTTAAACCATTAGTTCCCAGTATTTATCACAGGGGTTAATATCTTATTGTCTGGTAAACAGGGTATTCAAAGAATGCAGGACAAGACACCGGAAGACTTGAACTCTGGTTTCCCAAACTTCCCAACAAGACAACATGACAGAGACCACAGGTATAGTTCTTCACTCAGTTTTTTGCTTAGTATCAAAAAGTTATCATATTGATATATAAACTGAATCTTTCTTTTGTGCTTAAGAATTATGACAGAACTGAACACCTTAGAAATGTGCTTCCTTAAAATGTCAAACCTAAGCCGGATGCATTCAAAATTTGAGTGGAAATTGCAGTAATACATATTTTTGTACTTAAAGTTGGGATAAATGTTGTCTTTAAGGTAGTAAAGAAATAATGAATTTAATTAAAACATAAGTATTCAACCATTCATTGTGCTGCATACCCTTGTTTAACAGCAATAATGCATTTCGTTACCGTAAAGTCATGTCATTATTTTTGTAAGAACAATTTATATCTAGCATTATGCAATTTACAGTTATTATGCAAATGAATATGATAAATGGCCAGGTTGAATTTAATTCAAATTGATGCATCTTTACCTTCAGGGTTGAATCTTCTGAATCTAACGGACAGGGAAGGAAGGAGGATGCAAAACCTCTTGTCATATTTGAATCTCAGCGAAGTCCCCAATCTCAGATCCATGGAAGGAAGCCTGCACAAATTTTCCCTGCTGTACCAGATAGAAATGTGATCAATCCAGAAACCATAGATTTGGTTGATAATCCCAGTTTTATCTCACAGCCTTCAGCTTTTGATAATCCACCTTCTCTTGGAAAGGATGAATCTGGGTTAAGACCTAAACCATCCGTATTTGATGATCAGTTGTTTGATCTTGGAAAAGGATCAAACTCTGCACAAGAAGAACAAGGGTTTGAGTCAATTAATCAATCTACCCCACCTTCTTCCATATTTCCAACCCAAATATTAAGAACTTCCTCAATAACTCCTAGACCTCTGCAGCAAACCTCACCTGTGCCTAAACAAGGAAAATTAATATTTGGAACATTTTCTAGATTTTCAGAAATCTTTATTATGCATTTGAAATCCTAATTTGAAGTTTAAATCAGACATTTATAATTATCTAGTTTTCCAATATTATTTAATTTCCAAGGATTTGTAGAGTCTGTTCAATCTGCTGGGGAAAAAGGTCACATTTCTTTTCCCAGGCCACCTAATCCTCAGACCTCCCAATTTGATCAACCAGAGTCCAATATTCATATCGCTCCACCAACAGAATCAGTGCAACCTGGCCTAACTCATCCCATTCCTCATCCAATCCCATCCTCAACAACAGAATCAAATAATCTTCCTTCTTTTATAAACTTTCCGGTAGTTCCAACTTCTTCATTTGAACATCCTACTATACAACAAAACTTTGATAACACAGTTGGTCCCGTTAGAGACTTCATTCCTATTTTTGATAGACCAGAACAGACTGTGTTTCAGGAACCTCTGCAAATTCCTGAAAGTCAGCTTCAGCCTGGATTCATTCCGCCTCCTCAGGTCCCTATAATTGAACCAGAAGCTCCTATAGGTCTTTCCAATGTTGAGTTTGAGGAACCACCAAGAGATTTTACCTTTCATCCAGTTGTAAGAACTCCTGCAAACCCTTCCCTGCTCAGAGACTTTAAATTCCAAGAGGTTGTTGGCAGCCCTCAGAACTCTCCAGAGCTAAGGCACAACATGGTTTTCACTCACCAATCTCCTCACTCAGCACATGTGCAATCAACTCATGCACAATCTATAGATGATCATCAACCTCCTCCTCTACATAGAGAACCCCATCATTTCCTTCCTGAAGGAAGACATGAGCATACCAATAAATTTCACAACTCTGATTTCATCAGTCCAGTTTTTCAACAAAACAAACCTTTTATTTCCTTTGGACAAGGTATTATTGAACCAGTACCAAGACCAAGACATAGAGAACAATTTAGAGATCATGGTCGTCGCCCCCTCAATCCAACTCACCCTCCCATACGACCACACCCAAAGCTCTTTAATTCAAAAGCTAACGGACACTTTCCTCCATTGGTCCATACAGCAACTCCTCGTCCATTCTTTCAATCCACTTCCCCTGAACAAAATCCAAGTGTAGTCCAGCATTCCACACCTATTCCTCAGATACATCATGATTTTCAACATCATTCAACACCCCAACCTGTCTTCCTTGACTCTAAAAGTCCCCAGTCAAATTATGACATTCATCCTGACCAGAGAAGTCCTGGCCGTATTCTTCCATTTCAGAACCATGGATTACAATATAACAGTATTTCTTCTTTTCGTCCTGAATCTGTGCCTTCAGCCAATATAGTTCATTCTCATCCTGCAGTTCATTCTTTTCCTGATCCTGATGAGGATGTTAATCCTCATATAGATGCAAATTTACATCTTTCACACCACAGTAATCATGTTTTTGATCCTCTTCACCCTAATTCTGTTAATCTTTCCCCAGTAATCCCTCCACATCACCCAGAGCAAAACAATGGTCACACAAGAAAACCTTCAATATTTTTTCTTTCTGATTCATCTAAAGAATCATTGCCTTTTGGCACTCCTACTCCTATACCTGCAGTTATACATTCCTCAACACCAAACCCATTTAAGTTAGAACCAACTCCAGGTTCCCATGTAACTATTCAGCACTTTCCCAGTCCTTCGCCCATTCCACTTATTTACCAGCCTAAAGGAAAACTTGAACCATTAAGGCCATTTATACACCTTTCCTCTACAGAGAGACCTCAGGCTCTGCCCTATCATGGTGAACCAACCCCTCTTCCATACCAACACCCGTCAACTAAACCTTATGACAGTTCTTATCCTTCAGAACATCCATCTTTTGAGTCAGGTCACCCTCATCAAGGATTTGCTCATGACCATCCGACACCTCTAACATCTCATCACCCATCTCCAAGTCCAGTTCATCTTCATCATTCAACACCTCCACCTCATCATCCATCCTCTCATCATAAACCGTCTCATCCTCCTCAAGCTCATCTTCCTACTCCTACTTCTCCAACCCAAACTGTTGTCCACTCTCATTCCCTACCTCCCAAACATCATCTTCCTCATGTATATTCCTCTACTCAACCTCCACATTATCACTCCACACCAGCTCCATTTTATCATACAACTCCTGCTAGTTTGCACTTCTCCAGTCCTGCCCCAATATACTCAACTACCACTCCATTATACTCTTCTTCACCTGCTCCTGGATATCACACTACTTCAACTCCTCTATACCCTTCCTTTCCTCATCCTCATTACCACTCAACTCCAGCCCCACTTTACTCCACCCCTGCTCCAGTATACCACTCTACAACTACAGTGTCACCTTATTACCAGTCAAGTCCCCAGCCAGCTTATTATTCAACAATATCACCCCTGTATCCATTAGCCTCTAAACATACAACCAATACATTTTCATCTTTCCCATTTACAGACTATTCACCAGTTAGTCATTCTACAAGGGCACCAAGACTTGCCTCAGCCCACTCAGAGTCCAATCCAGTTGTCGTTCCAGGACCAAGCAAGCAAGAAGACAATTCTGAAGATCAAAGTACATCTGACACAAACAATAAGGACAGCATGGTCTTAGCTGAAACAATAAATGAAAAAGACATCACTGTGATTTCAGGTCAATCAGATAAAAATGAGCATTATCTATCAACCAATGGACATGGGCTACCTGCTCATTTAAGTCATAGTTAACCCAATCTGTGAGTACAGTAATTATCTAGTCAAAAGTATCAATACTAGTTCATTTATTGGAGTGGTAACAAAACATTGATTATCAAAAGTCAAAACTTCGATAATACAGAACGTCAATGTTTTACACCAGTCAACATTTGCATTATCAATGTTTTGTTTTTCGACGATTTGTTAATCAACGTTTTGTACCCACTCCCATTTATAGGTAATTAATCTAATTATGAATACATTAATTTATTTTCTAGTCAGTTCATTACGAACACTTGATAATAAATCGTTTTAGCAATGAAGTTATTGCCATTTTAACTCATCTATGATATGATACAATGCGTAATATATTTTCTAATTTGCGAATTAATCTTTGAATATGCAATCTTCATAACATGCTTCCCATATAGTATCCCCAGTTTAGACACCAGATGTGACATAATTAGGGTTTAGGAATTGTGTCTTTCTCATTTTCCGTTGGTGCAGGTATCGAGTTTTTGCCACAATTCAAATTTGACCTCACAGGTAGTTTGTAATATCTAAGCTCTAACACATTGGGTTTTAATATATATAGGGATTAAAAAATCAAGGTTTGTGGCAAAGACTTAATTCTTTTTGGAAAAGTATTATTTTTTAACCCTTTGTGAGTTAATAAGTACCAAGAGTACAAACAGGATTTTAAAACAGTCTATATTCTATTTCAAAAGTCTTAAATGCTTATAGTTTGACTTTTACCACAATTGCAAAACATATAAAGGGTAGGTATAGTACACAGATGGGCAAATAATTATGCCTATTGTTCTATTTGCATTGCATCTCCGACACCCCCCCCCCCACATCATTATTTTTCAGACAGCCAAAATAGAGTTATGAAGTTCGAAATAGAATGTTACGGAATGCTTTTAAACCCTAATTATGTCTGAAAGATATATATTATATATTATCTCATTTCAGGGTAAATTATTGTAATTTGTGTGGTATTTTCTTTACTATAGTTCACATGGACAATTAAGCATTTTAAATTTTTCAATCTTTTTTTCTAGCGCATTTAGTCTTTTTTTTTCAAAATTCTGAAGTTAGAAGTAAAAGTTTGCTTAATTTTATAGGAAACTTGATTTTATATAAGTGTAAAAAAGTTGAATTCTCCTGAGCCGGCGATTTAAAAAGTTCAAGAAAATACGACTCGGGTCTAAGCTGTTGTTGAGCCTTATATACGGCTCGGGCTTTCGGATTTAAGTTGCATCTATTTTTCAACAGAATTTAGTTCGTAAAACCGGTTTAATTCTGTATTTGACGGATTTTCATAGTTGGAATTGGCGCATTCCGGGTTTTAATGAGAATAAGACCCAACATTGAGCCTTATTCTTCACTAAAACCAACCAAGGTCGGTTTTATTTTCATTGGGCCTAACTCCTTAAGTTCGAGCCTTAGATCTCGCAGCTGTCAATCACGTGACACAAGCTGTCGTCAGAGTTGGGTCTAAGATTGGGTCTTAAAGCTGCGTTTAAGAAATTAAGACTCGAGCTGAAGCTTTTAAATCGCGAGCTCTGTAGTAATAATTTCAGTAACGACCATTGCGTAATCAGAACTTTAATGCATTATCAAAATAAATAAAATATATAATTAGAGAGTGTGTGTATTTTGTAGATGAAACAATTTTGGATCGTAATATTTGTAAAATAAATTATTAATTATTTTAACTATATGTGCTTTCAACTTTTCTATGCTATTTATGATTTTAACAGTTAAGTCGAAACCCAATTAGATTATCAAGTATCAAGGCAGAGAAATGGATAAACTATACATGACGTCACAAGTGTCAAATATAACAAGGAAAACAACATTTTCTCCCATTAGTTGACATGTTTTCCAAGATTAAATAAAGAAAAGTGAAAAACAGTAAGTAAAGAACACAAAATGGCACTAATTTCAATGTAAGATATGCACTTTATTATCACTAGTATTAATAATTTTGTCGGACACTTAAAACTGTTGACACTTGTGACGTAAAAATGAGCTGTACTGGGAGTGTACAAATTCTCCGTTCTACGTACTTGATAATCTATTTGGTCGAAACCAATTAATCCAATAAAAAGTTAAAGTAATGCGAAAATGCCAATATATTTAAAAAATGTTTACAACATTTCTCTCCACAAATTTTTTTTAACTTCAAAAAGAGGGTTACTTGAAGTTGGGTCGACGGTCTCTTAAAGTGACTGTAACCTTAATTTCAAGTTACCCACTGTGATTTTAAGGTCTCAAGCTCTTAAGCTAAAATCGATGAGAATTTTGCCTATTTCTTCTTTAAAACCAAAGCTAACAACAAGTTCTTTATATTGATAAAATGTACATGTAAAGGGCTACAGAAAAGCATAAGTTAGTTAGTGCGGTAAAGTCAACCCTATCCCAAAAATTGATGAGACTCTTTATAAGCAGGCTGAATCTACCGGTACTGTACTGTACTGTAATGTACTACTGTACTACTGTACTGTACTGTACTACTGTACTGTACTGTACTACTGTACTGTACTGTACTACTGTACTGTACTGTACTGCGTAGTAATGATGGAAACTTTTCTTAAACTGTCATAATGTGTCTACTGTCCTAAGGAGACCACTAAACTTGTTTAAGGTACGTTTTTAAGCTTAAAAATGTGGCAAAGGGAAACTTTTCTTCAACGTCAGAATTCTGGCAAAAGCTGCTAGTGACCTTCTGCAATATGGTTTTAAACCTGGTCAAATCTTGATGACCAAAGAAAATGATTAATTTGGCTTTTTATAAGTCCAAATATTCTCGACACCTTCGGTTTATTCAGCCTATAGATAAACTTTAAAGTGCATTATAGTCAACCAAAAGCACAAAAAATCCGGCCTCTGCCTCACTAGCCGTAGTGGGAGTGGGTGGAAGAAAAGGCTACTCCTGTATTTCTGTTGAAACTAGGAAACCGTCAATAGCCATGTGTTCCAGAAAATGTTGAACTAAAAATTGCTTCATAATGTCTTGGTTCAAGATAATGCTCTTCCTAACACTGATGCATCAATAGTTTCTCTGATAATGGGTTGGCAATATTTTGGTCTCTGTGGAATAGAACCCCTTGTTACCCAGACCTTAATGTCTTAAATTGTTTTACGCGAATGCAGGATGAGGTCCATGGGAGGGCCTGTCTTCTGAGTTGGTTAGAATTAGGACAGGCTATGTACTATGTGTACCTAGTTTATAGGTCCGGTAGAGAACGTTGTTGAGGTTGCATAAGGTTTTTAATGAAATATGTTCAATCTACTCCCAAACATTGAATATACGTAAAATCATTTAAATCATATTTCTAAATTGGGTTGAATATAAAAAATGTTATAATTATATTTTAAGGTTCCATCTTTACTACGCACCCTGTATGTGTACCTGGTCCCTTGTTAGGTTGGGATGTCTATGCTTTACCTGGTCCCTTGTTAGGGTGGAATGTCTATGTGTACCTGGTCCCTTGTTAGGGTGGGATGTCTATGCTGTACCTGGTCCCTTGTTAGGGTGGGATGTCTATGTGTAACTGGTTCCTTGTTAGGGTGGGATGTGTATGTGTACCTGGTCCCTTGTTAGGGTGGTATGTCTATGAGTACCTGGTCCCTTGTTGTGGGATGTCTATGTGTACCTGGTCCCTTGTTAGGGTGGGATGTCTATGTGTACCTGGTCCCTTGTTAGGGTGGGATGTCTATGTGTACCTGGTCCCTTGTTAGGGTGGGATGTCTATGTGTACCTGGTTCCTTGTTAGGGTGGGATGTCTATGTGTACCTGGTCCCTTGTTAGGGTGGGATATCTATGTGTACCTGGTCCCTTGTAAGGGTGGGATTATCAAAAATCAACACTTTTCAAACCAGAATATTGACCTTATCTTCAACATTATTAATAAGACTAAGATGTCTAAAATGCCGTTGTGAATAAGGAATGCCCCTTTTTTTAATGACTCAAAATAAACATCCAAACATCTACACATCTTAACATTGTTAAAAGCATTTGTCGTCAATACTAGTAGTTACTCATATCAAATTTTAAATTGTATATTCTATTTCTCCTCATTTTAACATTATTATCAGTATTTTTTACAAAACCCTAGTTTAACCGTATGCATCAATAAATAAAATAATACCATATTTTAAAATCCCAGTTTTGATTTTTGGTCGATATTTTAATATTTTAATAATATATTTCTGAATTAATAAAAGTTTATAAAACAATATTTTACCAAATTTCTAGAATTTTAAATAGCTTCATTAAATTTCATTCTCTGACTTTTAAAGCTCAAGAATGTTGAACGATATTTACAATCCTAATTCTCTGAAATAACATAAACTTTGTAATTAACGTTGATTTAAATTAAAACCTTAGATTTTTTCTTTTAATTTAGGGAAAGTCGCGTTTTGAAAGGTAATTTTCAAAATAAAAAAACTCATTTTTATTGATATTTTATCCCAATCAGCCAAATAACAACCTTTGTAATCGAGTTTTATCCCACACAAAATTTGTCTCTGATCGGTTCAGCCGTTTTGTTATTTGTTGGATCCAATAAATGGAAATGAGTATTTGCAACAAACTCAAATTTCCTGATATATATATCTTAAAAGAAATGCGTTCAAAAATTGAGAAATTATGGGGAAATCTGGCCGAAGATAGAAGATAAAGCAGAAAATCTATCAGTTGTTCAGCAACCTGTTAGAAGAGCTGAGCGTCTAACAATGGGAGCCAGCACACCAGGAACCACAAGGAAATACTTCAAGAGAACCATTGCAATACCCATATTATTTGCTGTTATATCTTCCTTGACATAAAGGTTTGGAGCAGATCAGAGAAAAGTTGCAAATCTGCTAACTCTTTCCCCTCAGATTCTTATCAAAAGATCTACACAAGAAGTGAGAGCTGATCTTGATGAAGCCCTCGACCACTTTGCCAAGGTATGACAAGGGTTATACTTATCTACTATTTTCATTTCTTTTATTCTTATTATACCATAACAATTTCAATATTTTTAGCTAATTGATGGGGGCCATCATGGATAGCGCAATTATTTAACAATTATTTTTACATGCAAAGCCGTGAAGGCTTGAGTTTGGAGGTAGTAAAAGAACATTTTTATTTTTTTATTTTTTATTTGGATTGAATTTACTGTATTCATTGCACCCCCATTTTATGACAAACTAGCTGAAGTACCCGGCATTGCCAGTGGAATTTTAAAAATCGATAAAAACAAAAAAATTATAATTGATTTAGCTTATGTCTGTCATCCCCAATGGTATCCATGAGTTTCCTCACTAAAATTCACCCCATTTGATTCCGCCATTTGCAGGGCAGCCATACTAGCAATCATATAAATGAATGAAGTAATTTATTATATAGATTACAATTGTACTCCTACTTTTTTTTACAACAGAAACGTTTACAAGTCAAAATTATTTTCTGGACCTTTGTCCATTTTTTCATCTCATAGAATTAAAGTTTAAGTTAAGTTTTTCATTTTCAAAAATGTCTTTTACTATCTCTAGTTTAAATACTAATTGTTAACAATATAAAACTTTAATAAAATGTCGATTTTTTAGAAACAATGTTTTTTTTCTGCTAGTTTTTTTTTAAGGAGAGATAAAGTAGCAGGTAATTGGAGTGTATGTGAAATGTGTACCTTTAAAGTACCCTTTACTTATGATGCCAGATATCCAAGAAGCCAAATGTTTTGAATTTACAGTTCAAATTTTGACCCCCCCCCCCCTAAGAGCTCCTAGGGGGGGGGGACAAAATTTTTGTAAATAGGGACATGATTGATCAACAATGTGGAGAGACTAGAGGGTAAAGTTGTTGTCTTGTAGGAATAGTGTTTAATTTTCAATATGTCCTACATTGTTTCTGTAGCAAAAAATCCGCAAGTCACGTGTCTTAAAAATAATTTTCTGTGCAATTGAAAAGAACGTTGAACAAAGAACATTGAACAAACGAAATAAAAAAAGCCGATCTCTAATTAGGAAAACCTAAAAAAATTTATAAATATTTGATATTTCTCTTTCTGAAAGAGCTATATATTTAAAAGTAATTTAAAAATACATTTTCAGTTGACTTAAAAGATTCATACTTTTTGATCGAAAAATCAACTTGAATTTAATATTAATTGGAATGTTAAAGAATTAGCGTCCTAAATCTTAATCAATAAACCACAAATACTACTTTAATATTGTTTAAGAGATAATAATATAATAACAAGGAATTTAATGCGTATGACGATTTAATTAAAGTATAATTGACGTCACTGTGTACTGATAAGCGTATAATTAGAGTAAGCAACTGTATATGCGTAACCGCATATTACATGTAGGTTCAGCATGCGTAACATAGCGTTATCACTAATTGACGGATATCAATCTTTTAAGGAACCTTTAGATAATTCCTGCGTACATTTTGAAATATTTTTTTCTGCCAAAATTTGACCACAGAAAAAAAAATTAAATCAAATTATAAAATGATAATTTTAAATCTTATTTGCTTTTAATTTCCGTTATGTAATTGATTATAACCGGGAAAAGGGTGAGAAAAACGCACACAAAATATCTCATATATGAACATACCTCAAATTGGATGACATTTTTTTAGGAACCCTATGGGTCCCCCAGGAGAGAAAAAGTCTAACAAAACTAGATTTTTTAGTGTTTTTAAAATTCCACGGGAAACGCCGGACACTCTATCGGTTCTTCATCTTCCAAAACAACGGAGGGTTTAATTTAAGCCGTTGGGCCTTTCTTTGAATCATTTCTTTAAAGTTTTAGTCTCAAGTCCTTGAGGCACAATTTTCAAACCAAATATAGTACATTCTAGAGAATTTTAGCGATTCATTTTAATTTTTTTGCGCCATCATTTTCTTTTCACTCTTCTTATCTTTTCAATTTTAATGGATTTATACAGAATATTTATTTCTCTTGTAAATTACATCTTATGGTTATATCTTTCAGAGCCAAGGGTTTCTACTTATCTTTCCAATTAATGGATTTATACAGAATATTTATTTCTCTTGTGAACTCCATCTTATGGTTGTATCTCTCAGAGCCAAGGGTTTATTCTTATCTTTCCAATTAATGGATTTATACAGAATGTTTATTTCTCTTGTAAATTACATCTTATGGTTATATCTCTCAGAGCCAAGGGTTTATTCTCAATTAATGGATTTTTACAGAATATTTATTTCTCTTGTAAACTACACGTCATGGTTATATCTCTCAGAGCCAAGGGTTTATTCTTATATTTTCAATTAATGGATTTATACAGAATATTTATTTCTCTTGTAAACTACATCTCATGGTTTTATCTCTCAGATACAAATGTTTATTCTTATCTTTTCAATTAATGGATTTATACAGAATATTTATTTCTCTTGTAAACTACATCTCATGGTTATATCTCTCAGAGCCAAGGGTTTATTCTATATTTTCAATTAATGAATTTATACAGAATATGTATTTCTCTTGTAAACTACATCTCATGGTTATCTCTCAGAGCCAAGGGTTTATTCTTATATTTTCAATTAATGAATTTATACAGAATATGTATTTCTCTTGTAAACTACATCTCATGGTTATCTCTCAGAGCCAATGGTTTCTTCTTATCTTTTCAATTAATGAATTTTTACAGAATATTTATTTCTCTTGTAAACTACATCTCATGGTTATATCTCTCAGAGCCAAGGGTTTATTTTTATCTTTTCAATTAATGGATTTTTCCAGAATATTTATTTCTCTTGTAAACTACATCTCATGGTTATATCTCTCAGAGCCAAGGGTTTATTCTTATATTTTCAATTAATGAATTTATACAGAATATTTATTTCTCTTGTAAACTACATCTCATGGTTTTATCTCTCAGATACAAATGTTTATTCTTATCTTTTCAATTAATGAATTTTTACAGAATATTTATTTCTCTTGTAAACTACATCTCATGGTTTTATCTCTCAGATACAAATGTTTATTCTTATCTTTTCAATTAATGAATTTTTACAGAATATTTATTTCTCTTGTAAACTACATCTTATGGTTATATCTTGATTTCACAATCTCAATTTCGCATTAATATACATTATAAAATGAACAAACTGCGTGTGAGGGGTACACAGTATAGTGCTGACAAATTCAAGGGGATTGGGCGCAGGGTTTATCTCTCTTTTGGAACATCTGAAAGAAACATTTTTAAATTTAGAAGCATTAAAAAAAGTTTATCACGATTTATTAATTTTCCAAAATAATTTAAAAGGGACTGTTCGCGTAATTTCAAGTGACCCTCCATGCAAGGTTGGAAATATACGATTCACAAATCTACCCTTTAGCTTTGTCTGATCAATTTGAATTAGATATTCATGTTTGTAATTTTGAAAACTGATTATATCATTTATGGGTTCATTACAAAGTGACTTGCGCATTTCTGAAGCAAGAAAACATATAGGAATGATCAGAATTAAACACATTTGGACCCTAGAAAAAACATATTGATCAGATAAAGAATAGAATAAAACTTTAAACTATAAATATCTAACTTATTTTCAAATAATGCAATTCTGTGAAAGAATAAACAAATTTCGTTTTCCCCAACGGTATACTTACAGTTAGCATAAAATAGGAAGAAGTTTATGGATAACAGAATTATCTGGTAATCAGGGTTACCAGAATTATCTGGTAATCAGGAATACCAGAATTATCTGGTAATCAGGGTTACCAGAATTATCTGGTAATCAGGGATACCAGAATTATCTGCTAATCAGGAATACCAGAATTATCTGGTAATCAGGGATACCAGAATTATCCGGTAACCAGGGATACCAGAATTATCTGGTTATCAGGAATACCAGAATTATCCGGTAATCAAGGTTACCAGAATTATCTGGTAATCAGGGATACCAGAATTATCTGGTAATCAGGGATACCAGAATTATCGAGTAAATCCATCCTTGTTCAGCTGATTTATGAGTTGAAGCAAACTTAATTTCTTCATTCTTCCCTAAATATATATTTAGAGTGAGTAAAATGTTAAAGGGTGGACCTTAAATATTAAAGATTATAATATATCAGGTCCACCACAGTAATCCCAAAGTTGCAAGCTTGATGCACATTTTGCCAAATACTGATTAAACTTTTGCTTAAAACAAATACTTTATAGACATCAAGTGTATGAATGTGTTGTCAGGTAAAATCAAAGACCAAAGAGTTTTTTGAAAATTAATGCAATTTTTGCAGTTTGTGGGACAGACTGGTTTAAGATAGATAGATAGTCACGCGAGTGTAATGAATTGCAAAATCTAAAATATTATTTTAATTTAACAATCAAATGTTTTGAATAATTTTGACTTAAAGTTTGACCTGTTCCGACCGTTTTCCGAATCTAGGCCTATTTTTATCCAGAACATCCGCTAAACCATTGTTTCTGTCAGATCTGACCTCACGACCTCTTCAAAAGAAATAATTTTTTAAAGATTTTTAAAATACAAAATAGTTATAGACATATTTATATGATACATTATGTTAAAAGAGCTAAAAACTGGCATCAATCTCTAATTTTAACTTTGCAACCTGGTGGTGTAAACAGCAGTAAATTTACTTTTTCTTATGATTAAAAATTATTGATGAAAGATTTGATAAAAATCCTCTCAAATTATAGAGTAACTTCCAAATATCTGAACAATTAACAAACCCTTTTATAAGGAATATTAAACGATTCAAGCTTTAATTTTGATTTTGATGAAAATTTTTTTTCTTGACAAATTTTGACAATTGTTATTGACCTGGAAGAATTCATGGTTTTAAATATCAAAGGTTTATCACATTGAATAGGTTCAATAGATTAAAAATTTGAAAATTAGAGTTGAGGGCAAGTGATCATGCTTAGTGATAAAAATAGATTTTATGTTCTTTATTCATAAACGATTTCAAAATTCGACTCATTGCAAACTACTGCAAACTATGCAGAATTGAAGGAGAAGGTCAAAATACAATACGGCTTTGTGACCTCGTAGCTCCTCTGATTTTACGCAGAAATAAAAATAAACAAAATTATCCGCGGCTACTATTTCAAATCAAAATAGAATCTTTTCAATCCTATATGCGATTTCCTTTTGTTGACTAATCAGCTTAAAGTACTCAGTATTCTAGAAGCACAAAGTATAAAATCAGCTTAAAGTACTTAGTATTCTAGAAGCACAAAGTATACAATCAGCTTAAAGTCTCATTATTCTAGAAGCAAATAGTATACAATCAGCTTAAAGTACTCATTATTCTAGAAGCACAATGTATACAATCAGCTTAAAGTACTCAGTATTCTAGAAGCACAAAGTTTACAATCAGCTTAAAGTACTCAGTATTCTAGAAGCAAATAGTATACAATTAGCTTAAAGTACTCTAGAAGCACAAACTATACAATCAGCTTAAAGTACTCAGTATTCTAGAAGCACAAAGTATAGAATCAGCTTAAAGTACTCAGTATTCTAGAAGCACAAAGTATACAATCAGCTTAAAGTCCTCAGTATTCTAGAAGCACAAAGTATAAAATCAGCTTAAAGTACTCAATATTCTAGAAGCACAAAGTATACAATCAGCTTAAAGTCCTCAGTATTCTAGAAGCACAAAGTATAAAATCAGCTTAAAGTACTCAGTATTCTAGAAGCACAAAGTATAAAATCAGCATTCAGCTTAATAGAATGATTTAAGATTTTTGGTCAGGTAAAGAATTTGCAACCAAAAGAACTTTAAACATCGTTGTTAATGTCAATGTTAATTACCATCCCCTTGACGGAGAAATGAGTGTCCTGATTGCTAATGACCATCCCTTCCGGTAGAGTCATTAGTGTGGTAAGTAAAAATTACCATCCCTCCCATGGAGTAATTAGCATTGAAAAAAAAATGGTCTTCCGTTGGAAACTATTTCCCTCCGGCAGTGGCCTCCGCTCCAGCGGATGGGACCGAATATGCTGCAGCTGAAAACTTTAATCTCTCAATAAATTTTGAAATTACATTTTAACAAAAGCTAATAAAAAATTTACTCATAACTTGAAAATTGAACATCTTTCACTGTACGTCGTCGCATGATGTAATGTTTAGTTGGACACCCTGTAATCTAAATATATATATACTAGCTTAGGAACCCTGCACTGTCCAGGTTACTAATTGTTACTCCCGACGTTTACCAGCACTTGAAATTTTGATGTACTTTTCCAAAGGCCTTTTCCCAAGCGGTAACTTCCCAAGGGTATTTTCCCAAATCTGCAATTTCCCAAGCGGCAATTTCCCAAGTGTGTCCTTAGCCCATCTGAGCTAAAAACTTTAGAATGAGATATCCTCAATCCCGATTACTTAATCTGAGTATCCAATGAACACACTTTTGATTTTCTTCTTAAACCGTTCTTCCGCAAATCTGATTAGTTGAATTTTATACAATTTTCAGGATACAAGTACAAGATTAGGTTAGTCTCGATATTAAGAAAAAGAGAAGATCAAATATTAATCTCGATATCCACAATTCTAAAGTTTTCAGCTCTGGCCACATTGCAGCTCCTGCGGAGCCTCAAAAGACCTAAACTTAACCTTTGGGAAGTTGCCGATTGGGGAATTGCACATTTGGGAAGTTGCTACTTGGAATATTGTCACTTGGGAAGATCCCTTTGAGAATTTACTTAACACCTAAATTTTCGCTATTAGAATCGACCCACTCAACTTAGAATCTTTAAATCAACCTAAGAACATATGTTGCACAGGACTCTGAAAATTTCGATTTTAAAAATAAACGTTTAGTTCTGTTCGATGTTTCCTTCACCTCGAGTGAATAGGGATTGACCCAAACTTCAGCCTCGGCTGAGGCCACCGCGAAGAGGACACAGACACAGGTGGCTAGGAAGCTACACAGCTGCATTCTCTAGGATAGAAACATATACAGGGAGCTAGGAGGCTGTATTCTCTAGAATAGGAAGTTAGGAACATAGTGAGCAAGAAGGCTACACAGCTGCATTCTCTACGATAAAACATGTACAGGGGGCTAGGATGCTGTATTCTCTAGAATAGAGACATGTACAGGAGGCTAGAAGACTATATTCTCTAGGATAGAAACATGTACAGGGGGCTAGAAGACTGTATTCTCTAGGATAAAAAAATGAACAGGGGGCTAAGAAACTATATTCTCTAGGATAGAGACATGCACAGGGGGCTAGAAGACTGCATTCTCTAGGTTAGGAACATGTACAGGGAGCTAGAAGACTGTATTCTCTAGGATAGAAACATGTACAGGAAGCTAGAAAACTGTATTCTCTAGGATAGAAACATGTACAGGGGGCTAGAAGACTGTATTCTCTAGGATAGAAACATGTACATGCTAGGAGGCTGTATTCTCTAGGATAGAATCATGTACAGGGGCTAGAAGACTGTATTTTCTAAAATAGAGACATGCACAGGGTGCTAGAAGACTGTATTCTCTAGGATAGGAACATGTACAGGGGGGCTAGAATACTGTATTTTATAGAATAGAGACATGTACAGGGGGCTAGAAGACTGTATTATCTAGAATAGAAACATTTACAAGGGGCTAGAAAACTGTATTCTCTAGGATAGGAACATGTACAGGGGGCTAAGAGGCTGTATTCTCTAGGATAGAACCATGTACAGGGGGCTAGAAGACTGTTTTCTCTAGGATAGAAACATGTACAGGGGGCTAGAAGACTGTATTCTCTGGGATAGGAACATGAACAGGGGGCTAAGGGGCTGTATTCTCTAGGAAAAAACATGTACAGGGGGCTAGGAGGCTGTATTCTCTAGGATAGAATCATGTACAGGGGCTAGAAGACTGTATTTTCTAAAATAGAGACATGCACAGGGTGCTAGAAGACTGCATTCTCTAGGATAGAAACATGTACAGGGGGGCTAGAAGACTGTATTCTCTAGGTTAGGAGCATGTAAAGGGGGCTAGAAAACTATTTATTCTCTAGGATAGAAACATGTACAGCGGGCTAGAAGACTGTTTTATCTAGAATAGAAACATGTACAGGGGACTAGAAGACTGTATTCTCTAGGATAGAAACATCTACAAGGGGCTAGCAGACTGTATTCTCTAGGATAGAAACATGTACAGGGGGACTAAAAGACAGTATACTCTAGGTTAGGAGCATGTACAGGGGGCTAGAAGACTATTTGTTCTCTAGGATAGAAACATGTACAGGGGGCTAGAAGACTGATTCCCTAGGTTAGGAACATGTACAGGGGGCTAGAAGACTATTTATTCTCCAATATAGAAACATGTACATGGGGCTAGAGGACTGTGTAGGATAGAAACATGTACAGGGGGCTAGAAGGCTCTATTCTCTAGGATAGGAACATGAATAGGGGGCTAGAAGACTGTATTCTCTAGGATAGAAACATGTACAGGGGGCTAGAAGACTGTATTCTCTAGAATAGAATCATTACATGGGGCTAGGGGCTGTATTCTCTAGGATAGGAACATGTACAGGGGGCTAGAAAACTGTATTCTCTAGGATAGAAACATGTACAGGGCTAGAAGACTGTATTCTCTAGGATAGAAACATGTACAGGGGGCTATAATACTGTATTCTCTGAGATAGAAACATGTACAGGGGGCTAGAACACTGTATTCTCTAAGATAGAAACATGTTCAGGGGGCTAGAAGACTGTATTCTCTAGGATAGAAACATGTACAGGGGGCTAGAACACTGTATTCTCTAGGATAAAAACATTACAGGGGGTTAGAAGACTGTGTTCTCTAGGTTAGAGACATGTACAGGGCTAAGCGTCTAGGCGACTACATAACGGCATTCTCGAGTAAATAAACTGATTTAAGCAGGATCAGGGAGCCAAAACATTGCGAATCCAGATCAAATGCGACAAAATATTGTGGATCCGGATCAAGTGAGACAAAATAGTGTGGATCCGGATCAAGTGAGGCTGTTCCCTTATTACCTGTAGTTTGTAAGAGGGTTGTGAAGAGAATGGAAAACTCCCTGCATAACCAATTCTTTTATAGGTACTCTCTCAATAATAGGAAAATATTTACAGTTCTTTAATTACATTCATTATTATTCAAAATTCAGATCAGTTTTCAGATAACATTATTACCAATCTTGTTATTTCAAGAGCATACGGTGGTAACCAGAAAACATTGGAACTATTCACGAAGTTCTTTTCCAATTTGAGCATGACAGATAGACATATTACAGTAAGACGACTTTATAGCAATACTTGCGGGTATTTGATGCTGTTACAAAGTAAACAGTTTTATAAGACTCTTATAAAATCACCAATTAAGTGAAATGGGTCTGTTTACCTAGCACAATTACTGTGTTTCATGCTTATTGGACTATTTCAAGTCATAACTTGAGTCTAAAAGTCGTCTTCCTATTCCAGAGTTTTCTGGTTATCACTGTATATGTATTGTCAAACCTAAAGGATATAAAAAATCGGCGCGAATTAAAAAGATGCTTAAAAAAGCCCGTTTTGTGTAGAACCTATATCTTCTGCTTAAAACATAAAACCTATCTTATTTTTCCACGTCATTTACCTCCTTTTTAGGAAATGATGGGACATATTTCCAAAACCTTTATTTTTGGAGGTTTTATATTTTCTCCTATAACACTTATTTTTATATGTTTTTGTAATATTTCATGAATAAATAATTAATAATTTAATAAGTCACTTACTTAATGATGACTTTTGAAAGTTGAAAAAATTGTGATTTTTAGCTTTCGAAACATTGTTGTAATGATCTAAAATGGGAGGTTCGTCGATGAAAGCGAGGGTTTCTACAATTGACAATCTTTCAATGATATATTAGACGATATACATATTGACAGAGAAAGACAATGCACTGCAGGGAATCGCAATATGACAAACGGCTAAATAAATCCCGTACAGTCGTCTCATCCTTTATGAGTAGCTCTACTTCTAAACAAGTTCAGGATACATTATGAAATATTTATCATTTGTTTTATTTGGATTGAGAAGGAAGAAAGCTGGCTCAAGTATGTCCTACTGAATATGAGAAGTTAAAGACGACAGCCGTCTTTGTTCTAATTTTACTCAAGAATAGAACATGCAAAAAATGTTGCTCTCTGCACCTTAGAGGTTGAGCTTTTTATGATAAGTATTTATTTAGAGGTTGAGCTTTTTATGATAAGTATTTATTTTTTAAAGTGTTTAATTCTGCTAATTTCCTTTTTAGTCTCTGCCCTATAAACCTGCAAGCGGAACGACAATGAAAAATCATTAATTTTTCATTTAAAAGACGATAAAAGCTTCTTCAGTTTGGCTCCTATAGTGTTTAAGGGTACCGTTGTGAATCTGACAATCTTCAAACGGAGACTCACTTTAAACAATACTGTTTAAAACCGGCAGTTAACTTTCCAAGGTTAAAAAAATCAACAACAACAAAAAACAAATTTGGATTGTGGTCTAAGATTCTTCATTATTCTCTAGATAAAATTAGCTTCATTTTAAATCATATAAAATTGTTCATTCTTCTGCCATTTATTGAATTGATAAAATGTAACAAAACTGTTTTTATTAAAATATATTTCTAATTTACCATGTATATATATATATATATCATGACAGGGGTCACATATAATATAGTTCAGGGTGAACTGTACATTTCAATTTCTTTCAGAAAATTCACGAAACGATTAATTTAAAGTACATTTTCTATCATATACTTATTTATGTACAGTGTACACCTTTACATGGTCCAGACTTATAACATGAAACATTTTTCTATTTTTAATTTTGTTATCTGACTACAGAAGATTTAGTATTTTTGAAAGAGTTATTTGCGGATTTATTCGTTTTGATTGATACAGTTTTGGACGGATATATATACAAAGAGGCACCTAACGGTGATTCTGAGAACGACTCAAAGCATTATTTATCTAATATTAAAGGGACAGGCCGGGAAATTTGAAAGAGGTAATAACTAATTTATTGAAATTCGGACTTCAAAATACAGGATTTTTCTTTTTAAATTAAAAGAATAAAATTTTTTTCTCAAATTTTTGTATTTCAGGATTTAATCTGTTTTTAATACTTTGGGTTGCCTATGCATATATGATACCATTTTTTTTAAAGTTCAAAGCTGCATACAGTAAGTCTTTTATTAGACAAAAACTAATCAAGTTTTACATTTTTAACAAGAAATGTTGAAGAATAATTTCAGATAAAATTAAAAATGTTTATTAAAGCAACTTACTGCATGAAACATGATGAAGTATAAGTTAAATATTCCAGATATATATTAATCAGGGGTATACATTCTATAGAAAAATTATTCCCCCGTAATTAAATACAGTAATTTTTGTTAACTTGAATCATCATATTTAAAAAAAATAGTTGAAAATAATTTTAAACCTAAAAATATATACCCGTTATTAATTGTTGGTTAGTGGATTACAAATCTTTCTTGGATTTTCGCCGGAATTTTTTCATCTTTATTTTGTTTACAAAACCCTGCATACATGTGAAAATGGTGGGTCGGGAGAGAGGGTGGGGGAGATCAAGTCATATTGGTTATTTACGACAAGTTTGAAAACAGTTTAAGTTGATGATGGAAAAATGGCAAAAAGTGTAAGATCTAAACTCCAGTTCCAAAGTAGTGTATGGGGGGGGGGGGATGAGGGTGGAAGTGACCCAAGCTTTTAACTGAAAAACACAAAAATTAAAATTTCCCCTATCCATGAAGAAATATGTCATGTTACTTAAAAACTAAAATCTTTTTATTACAGCATACATCGTCAAGTCGAATTTGGCGTAGTTCAAAATTGTAATCTTCCATCTTTAAATTCTTGGGTTCTTAAGAAGTGGATCAGAAATAAAAAACATGTTTCTCTTTAAATAAAAAGGATATAAGAAAGGGTCTAATTCTTTAAAAAGTTAAAGTTTTAAGGGACTACCAACGCATATTCTGGTGACATAACATTTGAAAGAAGAGGTAAGCTCGATTCACAATGGTTCCTTTAAAGTTTTGATTGAACTTAAGGGGACTGTAAAGGAAAAATGAAAGGGGATATAGGCTGAAACCTGAGAATCTCAAGAATTGGATTATACCTAAGACATCTATCTGGTGCTCCTGTCTCGATAAGTTGACATAAAACTGTGTCAAAGTTATTCCAAAACGTTTATATGTAAGATATTCGTCCGTATCACGTGACCAGAACTCCCTCCAATGGTTATGCAGTATACTGGTCACGTGATAAGACGGAGACGAGTGAAAATAATACTGCACTGCCATTGTTTGGAGTTCTGGTCACATGTTCAGGGCGAATAAATAAAATCATCAATCATATCTATTAAAAATGAAAAATTATTAAATTCAAATAATAATAGGAGCAAACTTGGGCTTCTCAGGTTCCTCTGGGATATCGTTGTTTTCAGATTGGTTGCATATTTGTTGAATATCATCTGTTTAATACAACGAATCTTATACTAAATCTTTCATATATACTTTGACACAGTTTATATCAAGTTTTCGAGACAGGAACATCAGATAGAACTCTTAAACTCTTAAACTCTTAAAAACTCATTTGCAGTCCCTATAAGAAAATATCATCGTTTTGCTGCTAAACAATTTCTAATTTCTAATGGCAGTTTCTCTAAAAAAGTGACTTGCGAATTTTATGCAATAGAGAAAACGAACTTAATATAAAGAATTCGAACTTTTTAATAGATGAAAAACGACGAAATCTATCCCATCGAAATCAGATAAATATTTAAATGGTACCATTGTGAATCGGGCATGCTACACTTTTAAATAAACCAGGTCTATTAAAATTACGTTTACAGTCCCTTTAAATATAGAGTATACAAGGCTAATTGATAAAATCTGTTTTGTGACATTTAGTTTGATAAATCCTGCACACAGCTTGGTCAAATCTGCTTCCGTAATCAAACCAAGCAAGATAATTATATAACGATTAACTTAATTAACGATAAGGTAAAATAATTATGGTTAAGATGAATAAATAAAAAGTTCTAAATAAGCGTTCTTTTCAAAACTAAACAAAAACTATGATAAATAAATTGTAATTAACTCTAGATTAATAGGAGTAGATATTTTAACTTTGGGCTCAACCTTTTACTAGGATAGAACATAGAATAGAATAAATATATAATACAAGGATATTTTTGGCTAGTATTTTGCTTGGGAGTCATGGCACAAAATATTAGAAATTTTAAGAATGTTCAATGTTCACCAATTTTACATGATCTTGGACAGAGTAACTAGTTGAATTCAAATAAAAAAATAATCATTTGTTAAAAAAATAAAAAAAATGAAAGCTGAAAGGGAAAGCAGAAAAATTGTTTTAAACTTAGTTTAATTTTCCATAAAAGCACTTGTAACATGTAAAAAGTGGGATAATGGTTTCTTTTACAGATATCTTTTTAATGTGTCAAGACCCATTTTCACACAGATTCTTGACCGCAGGACTGGAAGCTCCTCTGGGCATACGTTTACTGCGGTCAAGGCTGGAGAATTTATCTCCGGGCCGGTCATTCTCCTTTCCATTCTCCTTCACGATATTCCTGCAGGAGACAAGCTTGAGCTCCAGGGCACCAACCTTCCTCAGCAGGTCTCCAACTATACCCAGAGCAGATATCCTACACACATACAATACATTTTTATAAGAGAGTATCTTTTATTTTAAGTTTTCTATCTAATTCATTTGTTTGATGACTTTTTTAGGGTTAGTATCAAATAAAAGTTGAAAAATCTAAACCTATCAAGCATTTTTTTGTGTAGGACCTCAGACAACACCAGCTTCAGAAAATGCTTATTTTAAAATTTAATTTTTTTTTGATAGCTTACTCTTCACACTTCTGAAAATGAACCATCAGGTTTCAAGTCAGAACATCTAAACTTTTTCTTCAGAATATGTTATTATGCAGTCTAATGAGTTAAAACCTTAATTTTAAGAAAATGCCACCTAGTGAATTTTCCGCAAATCAAATAAAAACCGAATCAGCTTAATCAAGTCTTGAAACAAAAGAAACGTTTGTTTTTTTAACCAGAAAATGCACTTGATTTCTACGATATCTTAAAAAATGGATTTACTATAAATACCCTAGATGGCATTTCCTGAAAATTGAGATTATAATTCAGTAGACTCTATATTAACATAATCCAAAGAAAAAGTTTAGGTGTTTTGAGTTAAAACCTGATCAGCAGTGTGTCTAAGCCTTGTTAAGATAGAAATTAAACAAAAAAACTGATTACTTTTCTAAACCCCCATATCTTTGCAACCTGGCGATGTGAACTTTAATTATTTCAAATTTTGATTCTCCGACATCAGGTTAAAAAGGTAAGGACTTATTTTACTTACAAATAAGATTAACAGTTTCGGCGGCCTTATTTACCCAAAACTCTTTTATGGACTTAAATGTTACAAACATTTCAAAGACATTTCAAAGTCCAGGGAAAGATTTAACAGAAGAGGGGGGGGGACACATTTTACACTTTTTACTTTTAGGAGGAAAAAATGTAAAAATATCCATCGCCCTTTTAAATTTACTTTCTATAATAAAAATTAACTTTATTTTAAATTCAGAGAAAAAAAACATGAAACATACCCTAAATACTTGATTTTTTTATTCCTCTCGTCAGAACAAGAAGCGGTAAGAAATTTTATAATCAAAGCCCCCCCCCCCCCTCCGGCCTCTAAAACTAATAATGGAGATATAGTGGTAGATAAAAAGGTAATGTTACATCGTCTATACGCAACATCCCCTTACTGAACTTCTGAACTACTAACTTTCCGACCTACTGCAATATCGGACCTACGCCAGCTGTTTATTTTTGTATTATTTGAGCGTTAGGTAAGACAATTTCTGGGCCGACCGCTGCGGCAAGGACAGGATGGGGGGCCGAGCGCCGCGGCTAGTACAGGCTATAGGCCTGGCGATGCGGTCACAAGTCCATATAGCAGCTGCAAAACCAAGTGCTAGTAGGTCAGAAGTGGAGTATAGCGGATTTGCGTAGGTTGAAAAATACACCACAGATAAAATATATATTTCTGTATTAGAGGCACAAACCTAGCTGAAGGTGTTAGCGGAGGAGTATGGGTTGCACCGTTTACTAGTTTAGCAGGAGTTACTCCTCCAATCTCTCCGTTCTGCTGAACCTCGTCGTTCTGAAACTTGCCCTCAGCAGCCTCCACCAGCTTGTTTGTATCCTGGAGGACGGGTGGAGGTGGAGGATTATCTAATCCTCTGTCATTGTCTGGTTCCTCCTCCTAAAATATTAATATTTAGGATTGGATAAAAACGTTTTATGAACTTTCGGCGGCAACTTTTAAAAACATTTATTTTGTAATGTTGCCTTTTCTCTGCCCACAGGTCCCACAGGTCGGCTACAACTTTAATGTATAATAGGCACGTCAAACAGAATCGGGCATAAAATTCGGAAACAGAGGTTAAAACTTTTGAATTGAATTAAATCGATATTCAATGAGCGGTGAACTTTAAACTAAAAATTAAAGATTCGTCAGGGGAGAAGGGGGGGGGGGGG